ATCACTGCTCAGAATCATATCAGTATGTAATCACACTACTTTCTACAACCAATTTTTATACTCCTATCACCTGATATACTTTCTTTTCATTGGTAGTAAGACTTTCTATATCTGTGGTATAGGTGTTGCGTCATCCATATTACATGTGTTGGGTGTTGATTGATTCAATGAACAAAGATTCAGTAATCAATCTGTCACTGTCCACCTAATTATATTGGACTTCGGTACAGTGGTTTTATCCCACTCACCCTATTGTGTGGTTGTGTGTTAATGCATGCATTGCAATAGCCGAGCTACTTTCTAGACTATTCATCTTATTCGGATTTGTCATTCTATGTTTAGCTGAAATTCTATCCTTAATCGGTTCTGTCGGATCTTTAAGCAAGATGGCAAAGTTTACCTCTGAGTGAGTTTGTTGGTTTAAATGCCACCCTAATTCTAGCCTTGCTGATAAACCTACAAAAAGTTTCTGATGTATCTTCCTTATAGGGTAACACAATGGAGGCTGTGACCTCCTTTCTACTTGTGTTGTTGTTATTATTCGTACTTGTGTTACTGTTATTTTTTTCGTTTCTTGTGTGTTCGTACAAATTTCTTAATAAACTGTAGAGGATAATTATTAATTATTAGTGCTTCTTTTATGTGTTTCAGTTCCTTGTTTAGGTCTCCGCACTGACTAGTCAGCTTTCTAGCTCTATCATCTACACATTTCACTAAGCCTACCTTAACTAACATTGGATGAGATGACTTAAAGTATAGATACCTGTTGGAATGTGTCGGTTTTCTGTGGACGGTAGTATCCAAACCACCATCTGTCCTTTGTTTTTCCTGCAGTCTGACATGGCTAATTCTCTTTGTTGGTCTTCTACTTCGTAAGTGAATTCAATTCCATCCACTACCAGGTTTATATATGTAAGAAAATTGTCGATATTTTCCAACTTCAATACAGTAAATGCACCATACACACCGCCATCGAATCTCAGGTCCAGGATTCAACGCTTGTATAGCAGTGTTTTGCCAACTAGGATCGGTGATATTGGCTATCCTTTTGCTACTCCTTTTGTTTGTCTGTATATTTCATCCTGAAACTTGAAGACTGTGGGGGTCAGGCACAACGGGACGCATAATATGATTTCACCAACCGATATCATACTTCTATCAGTAAGTTTCGAGTCACCATTTAGTTGACTTCTGTCTACTTCCAGTGTCATATTGGTTGATGTTTTAGTATAAAGGCCAGTTACATCGAAACTAACCATTTTTCATTTTCTTCTATATGCAAGTCATTAAGCCTTAGTTTTAACTCTTAAGAGTTTACTAGTCTGGAAGTTGAATGGTTCCTAATAGGACGTAATATCGATGCTAAGTACTTTGCTAGTTCATATGTTGGGGTATTTTTGTAGTCAATTATCGGTGTAATGGAGTAACCTATTTTATGAACCTTAATAGTCACTTCTTGTTCCATCTAGTTCCACCTACGCATAACATAAATACAATTATTTATTATTATTAGTCCCTTGGGTTCCTAGTGGAACATACGACTTCAGTAGCACGTCTCCAGTGACCTCTGTTCTCTGAGATCTTTTCAACCTGGTTCCACGACAGCCCACAAGCTCTCATTTCCTCCTTGCATGATCTCCTCCATGTCACCCTCGGACGTCCAACTCGTCGCTTCTCATGGGGATTCTACTCGAGCAGCTGGCCTGACGCGTGAAGTCCCCAGTCGGCCTTCTCACTGCATACCCAATCCATCTCCACTTCCTTCCAGTGCATATTTGTTGCGTGATAGGTTCTTGGTTGGTTAGTTCCCAGAGTTCCTTGTTGCTTATTCTTTCTGGCAATCCATCTGATCTTCAGTAGCGAGCGAAGGTGGCAGTTATTGATGAATATCTGTAGTTTATTGGAAATCCCTTTCGTGACACGCCAAGTCTCTGAGCCATACAGAAGCACTGACTTGACTGACTTTGGTGTTGAAAATCCGGATATTGTTCCACATTCTGAATGCAGAAGATCTCCACACTAAACAGAAATATAAACTCAGGTGAAATTATGATTGTACTTTTATTTAATCTGTACGCGAGGCAGGTTTAATGATTTTGCTATATGATAATTAGGTGTAAATTTATTAGATTCCATTGTATTCACATAGCAGACACGAAAAAAAGAGGGTTAAATTGTTTTTAATGAATCATTAATATAGTACAGTTGTTAGCTGAAATCATTCCATAGATGTCAGACTCTCAGAACTTAAACATACTTCTTGCATTCCATCTGTAAGATGTAGATTTGTGTTGGTTGTTTACCATCTACATATTTTTCAACCAGTTTTATTATGAAACCAAAACTTAAACCGTTTCTTTCAAGAAACTCAACAACCCAGCTAACTTGGTGATACTTGAGAAAAAAAATAAGTTTTCAAGTTTACTAAATATCTCGTTAATTAATCGATATTTTGTTTTATACTTCTCTTTCTTTAACCATTTATATTTCTGTTTGTAAACAATTTCACATGGTTAAGTAATTTGAATAAGCAATTTATGGCGTTCTGATAAGTACACAAGGTGAATTTGTTAGTTATTTGAAGGTATTCAGCAGGAACCCCTGTCTGATCGAAGTTTCGTGCCTGCTGATGCTTTTCAAGAAAACGTATCTGCAACTCCAAGAGGACCGATCTCTCCTCTCAGACTCTAACCTGTAGTCAGCAAAGTTACCACTGAGCTATTCTGGTCACAAGTGACATTTTGTAGGGTTGTATTAGATACTGGAGAGTAACAGATTTCATGTTGCCTCGCTCTAAATGCTAAATGGATTCTTCTGTATATTGTTTTGGAATGTGGTCACTAATGGTAACGTCAGTGCTAACAATACTGAGTGACATGGGTTGAAAGCTCATAGAGGAAATTATTTCCCTTAAGGTTACAAATACGGCTTGCTGTTGATTGCCTACAACCAACTAACATCTGTCAAAGTACACACCAATGATTAGCCACATTGCAAAAGGGTTGATACAGTTATTCGGTTGGTAATTATGACTAGATAATCAATGTACACTTTATTATTATATTATTTGTCCTTTAGGTTCCTAGTGGAACATAGAAATTCAGTAGCACGCCTCCATTTCACTCTCCCCTCTCCAGTCTTTTCAACCTGGCTCCATCACTACCCACAAGCTTTCATTTCTTCCTCACATTATCTCCTCCATGTCACCTTCACCTAGGACCCCCAACCCATCAATGTACACATAGTGACCACTTTACTTTAAATGAAACGCTTTTTATCCACTATGTCGCATAGCTTACTTAAAAACATTCATCAAATGACTGCATAGAATACTTAAGCGCTTGCATATATCAATTATACAATAAATGTACCTCTGTATACAATTCCTCCTCCTATAATTTATCTAAAGACATCTTGTATTTAGTTGAAACTTACTTGGTGACTAGCAGAGGAATACAGGACTCGCGTTTCGACCCATTTGAGACTCATCAGGTGGATGTAACCGCACTGAAGTGTGGAGTGATACTGTTCCCACTTCCTGCTTCAAACACTAGAGCGTTATCTACTAAGCCTCTTCTTGTGAAACAGGTATCAGTTGTTGTAACAATACTCGTAAATCCCCTTTGCTATATAGGACCGAATTGCTTGACTTCTCTTGGTAGATAGGCTCCTGTGCAGATGCCTCGATAATGCCAGACATTCAGATGTTATATTAATCTTTGTGACTAGTAGAGGAATCCAAAAGACACGTTTCATCCTGTCTGGAACTCGCCAAATGCATGTACCTGCACCTCACTGCTGAGTGATATTGTTCCCACTGAAGCTGGGACCTAATATCCTTCACTTCAAACACCAGAGCATTATCCACTAAGCCACTGGGGGACAATAGTACATACTTTGGAAATATTTGTTTCACCTTTATTAATATTTAAGATAAGAAAGATGTTGTCCCTCTCTTTATATCTTTGGTCACGATTAATTTCACTTCCTAAATTGCGTGTGACGAGTGCATGACTTCATTCGTATGAAAACTAGTTCTTCTATTGTGCAGTATAAATAAGTCAAATAAACCGGTGAAATCATAGGAAATAGAACTGAATATAAAAAACAATGAAGCTTTTAAATGATTGTGGTAACTAAAATTCAATTTAACATAAAAATCAACTGGAATCAGTTTTAAAGAAGTCACAAAATTGAAGGTCAGTGAACTCCTAGCATTTGGTTAGGCGGTGAAGTGCTCACCATCAGAGTTGACCATTCTTGACTAAGTCTTTCATGACGCTATAGATAGGTGAGCACTTCAAAGCAATACCAATCACTCTACAATTCCCACTTTTTCTCTAAACGCAATAAATTAGGGAATGAATGTCACTTTAAATTAATCTAATATATGTAGGAATGGAAGTCTACTGTCATAGACTAAAAATTGTCGTAAGATGAACTCAGAAATTAACAATCGACTGTCTGTTTGTAGTCATGATTGGGTTTTTATCAAACTATAAAAAGACAGACTTATTTACTTTTTTAAGGTAGTATTCATCATGGACTAGCATCATTTGCAGAAGCATTGGAAACACGAAAGCGCTGGATGGTTGTTTCATTCTAGTGTGAGACTCTTCAGCAGCAAGTACTCATGACCTTCCGGGGGGTCATTGGTGACATGCTTCGAGATGGATATGTCAGTTTTCTAAAAAGTTAAGTGAATGTCAACTGAAGACCTTGGTGGATAGTCGCTACATATCACATGAATTGACAGAAGTATGGGTTAGTGCGTTCGCCTTGGAAACTGAAGGTCCTGAGTTCAATCCCCAGCCAGGTAGTGGGTGTGTACTACTGAAGGGTCCCATACTAGGACGAAACACCTGTCCAGCGTCAGCAGGTTTTCAGTGTTTCTCCAATTAATGAATACCACCTTAAGAATGAAATTCACAGTAACTAGATTATTTTCTTTTATTCCCATACTTTATATAATGATGATTATTTTCTTATCTTATGCACAGCGTGAAGTTGAACGTTTTCGAGTAAGCCGTTTAGTTTATCCAAGATTTCGATCAACTGAACCAACTATCTGTCCTGTGAACAATCTACTAACATTCACCGTTAAAGCTGGTTCCATGGATAATGGACAACCGAAATGCAATGAAATACACTTATTTCAAGTAAGTTATCAAAAAAAGAATGTTTAGGATAGATCATGGATAGCAGTGGAATCCAGGATATGACGGTATCATATAAAAACCCTTATCCTAAAAACTATACCCGTCGCACAAGAAGTGGCCATCATGGCTCGGTGGTGTAGTGGATAACTCGCTGGCGTTTGAAGTGATCGCCCCGAAGTCCGAATCCCGATGGGGACAACATCACTCACTGGGAAGCAGGTACATCCAGCTGATGAGTCCCAGGTAGGACGAAATGAGCATCCTGCATTCCACTGCTAGCCACGATCCATCATTACCATAATCAGATTGCTGGCAATATCGAGGCATCCGCACAGGAGCCCATATGCTAATAGAGATCGATCAATTCGGTCCAGTCAACGTCGGTATCATATAAAATCCGTTATTCTAAAAAAAAGTTTGTATTTCACTTAAGTTTCTATTTAACTAGAGGAAAACAAAAGTTTTTTAATACCTATTGCATTATTTGTATACGAATATGTTGTCTCTTACGATTATGTTTGACTGCCTATAAGACTGAACTTAGAATAGGTTAGAATCGACGCTTGATACAACGACTAACATCACAAGACTGTAACTCGTTCTCAACTTGATTAATTTTTGATTAAAAAATGGTGGAATAATGAAGCCATCAACGAATATCATGTATATTAAAACTTCAAAGCCAATTGTCGACTTAGGCAATGAGTTAAGCTTACAATGTAGACTAATTATAGCTGTAGACTAACAAATTTCACAGTCTAGTCCTGACTGCTTCAAAGTTACATATACACCCTGCTGATAAGTGCCAACAAGTTTGAAACCTACGTTCATGACTTCTTCCCGGTTGCCTCCAAAGATGAAAAACGGAATCCCTGCATTTCAATTGAATAAGTCACTTGTGACATGTTTACTGAGAGCTGCAGTTGGAGACACTTTGAAGTGACGCAGTGGGATAAAACGTAAGTAATAACAATACTAAATTCAGTGATACACTAGAACTTAATATATGGAATGTTGCATGACAACAACATGCTATCCATGTGACACCATGGGGAATGGAGGTTGGTGCATCACTTAGGAAACATACCTTACAAACTCCTCTGTAGATATAAATATATAATAATGTAGACGAAATTGCAGGAGAGTCATCTGTTATGAAAGCACCCACTCTGCGGCTTCCAATAACATTATGAAAAAACCTCAGAAATAAACCAGTCAGTTCTGATGTGTCACTGATGGTGAAAGCAAAAGCTATGGGAATAGTCATGAAGTTGATGTCGATGGCTACTAACTCGTAGAGAAAAAGGTTCTCATTATTAGTCTTGTAAGTGTCATCGAGACCCAGTAGATCAAGACAGTTTTCAGCTAATTTCAGCTGATCGGCTGTAGCGAAAAAAAATGATTTCAGATCTCCACGCTCTGTGACAGAGAAAGATGCTGATCCACCTTGACTGATTATATGCTCCTACAACTTTTCGTAACTGCCTACAACATCATCGTTGCAAGGGAAACTTCAATTACCGGTCAAATTACACTTAGCTAAGAGGTGATAGCGCACATTGAACACATCTTGACTATTCAGTCGCTTACCATAGTGTGCATAAACGAAATCAACAACATCAAATGTAGCTGTTCTGGATATCAGCAATGGCCTTATGCTCTCCAATTCACCTCCTGTCAACTTCCGCTCCCACGAACTATTGTCATAAAGCAGTGAATCGCAGGAATAATTGTGAGTTAACAGCCACAGAGTAACTGTCCAAAAACCTTCTAAGAACTTCGCGAGCACGAACGTCCGACAAGAACATTTCAGGGATATTCTATGAAGTAAATAATGAAAACAAACAGAACTGACCTTCTTGTCACTACACGAACTATTGACCGCTGTTCACTAGCCTTAAAGCTAACAAACTTCACGTAAACTGTTAGGTCACCTTGCAAATGTGAATTTCGCACAACGTAGTGTGTGTACGTCTGTTTATCATACTCATTCAGGGCGATCTTCAAAGACTCTAAGGTCGGGAACGCGACGAGACAAAAACTCTTCATAAAAGTCGATTCGTATTCGGTTACAACACTTTGGACGGTATCGTCGCTCATCATGAAAACGAAGCAACCCGTCTTCAGTTTGCTTCCTTTTTATATTACCTTTGGATTTTGTGCAAATGTGAGGGGAAAGAGGTAGAAAATAACAGTTTAAAAAAAACTATTACCGTGGACCAAATGTGTTTCAACTTGATAACAATATCACTATTCCCCCTCCGCACCTTATTCTCCACTGAGTCACGCAAATATCAAAATATGATCGGTTACTGCCAGGACGATAAGCTATAATATATATACACAAATCCCACACATGAAAAATATCCTAGGAGCAAGAGAGAATAACACAATCTTATTGGCTACCAAATCATTCAATAAGGTTATACATAGACATGCATAAGAATATGGAACAAAAACACCTCTACCCCAACAGCTGATAACCTTGAACGTAGATTACCACATTTGACCGCTTGCTATCACATTAGATTTTATCTCTTCTGTACACAGATACAGAATCATTCTATTCCAGAAAGAGCATTGAAACCCAGTTATTCAACATTCCCCATTGTTTACTGACCCTCTCCTTCATCAGCGTAAGAACCGGAAACAGTACTTCCTTAGACTAATTTAGTTATTCTGTAAATGCATGCAGTGATATTGTTTTTTTTTATGTGACGAACACTTTTCTCCTGTGCTTCACTTTGATATGCTATAAAAGTGGTACAAAAGAAGGTGGGTGAATATACCGCCGTCTCTGCAACCTGGATATTCATAATTTTCAATGTTTAACTTTACTATCTTAAGATATTTCTTACTTCCAAGAAAAATATCATTGAAATTCTACTTAAAGTATAATTTTGACAGACATTTTTCTAATTTCATATGATTTCTAAACACCGAAACTACTTGCCTATCCAAAAGCTCAGCAAACAATCACAGTATCGAAGATAGACAAAAATACAGACTTATTAACTTGGCAATAATGAAAAGTAGAAAAAATGCTGTCATGACAATAAATTTCGGTAGATTTCGGTTATATATGTGAAAGTGAGTGGACACATGAACAGTAACTTTCATATTCCACCCTTGGTGTTTGCTCATTTCCCAGGGGAATGGAATAATCTGCAAGAGAACAGAAGGTATATAACGAACGTCAAAATGTGTATGTATTTACAATGACCCTGACTATTTTTAGGCCTTTCCAGAAGGCTACTTGTTATTGATTTTACTACTTAGACTAATCTGATATTTACACGTTGATTCATATGCTTTATTCCTCGAAACTATCAAACGACACTATTGGTTGTGAATGACTTCAAGAATTTTGGACTTATTATGTATCTGAGGAATTTTGTCCGACACTACAGCATGAAACCATAATTTGAATTCAGATATTGGAAGTTCTTTTGTCCTGACGTTGATAACTGCATCAGTAGGAACGTCGTAGATAAAATGTATCACGATGAAGGCAGAAAAGAATGTGATATCAGTCATCTGACGATGCACTGGATAAAACAACTTGATAACTGATTTCGAAAATGATAAGAAAAATATAACTGCTAGAATTGTGAAACCTTTTAGGAAAAAATAATCGTTTCAGATAGGTTTATCATGAACACTAACGAGATACAGAAAGGTCATTAAGGGTTGAATAGACAGACACTAGTAAAACAAAAAACCAAAATCAAATCTGGAGAAGCCTAAGAGAATTATAAGTAGACTTAATATCAGTTGGAAAAGCACTAAAAACCTCGAAACACTAGATAGTTGTTTCGTGCTGACATGGGACTTTTCAACTGTACACACTAATGACCTCATCAGGAATCGAACCAATAACCTTCAGGCTTCGTAGCTATCACGTTACCATTGAGTCACTGAGTTAGATTCCATTGGTCAAAATTTTCCTGCTTCTTTCAGTTTACAATTTAGCGTAAACTCTATACAATGCTGTCATGAAGTATTTGTTCTCACATCCGAATTCGTTTGTTTCACCGGTCACGACTTCTCATCAGAACTTTGGGAAATCTCATCTTGAACCTAGTCACTAATAAGCATTGTAGAGTAATTCAGATAGTAGGAAAGGATTGTCGGTGCGGAAAACCAAGTTGAAAATGGGGCAAATACTCAAGAATGGTATTGGATGACTGCCGAGCTATATCATGAATTCATAGAAGTAGGGAGATGTGGGCTTCTGGGTCGGATACCTGGCGAAGTCCAGTGCTATCAGACTATTGACGGTTCCTCAAATGATGTTAGTCTTTGATGAATACCTGCTTGAAATCTATAAATCTCCACAAACTTCCAAACCGAATTACCTAGCTGCGTTGTTTGCCTTTCAAGTACAGAAAAACTGTCAGACGTGAAGAAAACGCCTAGTGAATTACGCTATAAGCAGTAAATCCGATAAATCCTTTCAAAGGTTTAAAAACTTTAGACAGTGATCAGCAAGTATGCGTCAATAAATGTTATATTGAAAACAAAATTGTAATATAATAAATGGCTCCTGGTTCGAGCCTTACCACTAACCAGATTTTCATTTCACCTTCAGTCATTATTCAGTATCAATATGAAAAGAGATGAAAGTAAAATAAAATGCCTTTAACGGTTAACTGATGGATTAGCACTTCATAGATTAGTTCCATACAGATTAAACAACGTGTTACCTGTTGGATATGAAGCGAAGCAGTCAGCAATACACCTTTGCTTAACATTCGTTCATTTAAGATAAGTGAATATTACTTATCTTTGTTCTGAATCAGAAAAACTGGACAAAAACTTAATATATGAGGCTACTTTAGATGTATAAAGTAAACTGAACACAGCTGTTCGTGGATACTTGTAGTTTCTTGTGGCTATACTAGATCTAATTGTCCGACTTCTGTCGGTAGGTGGGATGCTATGCAGACACCTCGTTACTCCCGAATATATAATTTGCAGTATCCTTCTTGCTGCCTATCAGCAGGATCCATGACGTCACTTTCGTACTATTTGGAACCCGTTAGTTGGATCCACCTCCACCTAAATGACTGCTGTTGTTCTCACTGAGACTTGAACCAACTGTGCGTCACTGTAATGGCCCAGCTCATAACACTTAAGCGTTTATAGCGATTGGTGCAAGGTTAGAGTCTCAGACGGAACACCAACACTTACTGGGGTTCAGGCGTATCCAGCTGATGAGTCCTAAATAGGGCGAAATGCACATCTTCAATTCCACTGTTAACCACCAAGTGAACAATAACATAAATTGGATGCAGATTTTTATGTCTTACAATGAAATCCACTTGACTACAGACTAAGTAATGTAGTAATGTTCAGTAAAAAATTTTATTTCATTTATATTTCCATGTCATGAATACTCGCTAAATATTTGGGTTCCTTGGGTTCCTAGTGGAACATACGGCTTCAGTAGCACGTCTCCATTCCATTCTCTCCTCTCCAGTCTTTCCAACCTGGCTCCACAAATGCCCACAAGCTCTCATTTATTCCTCACGCAATCTCCTCCATGTCACCCTCACCTCCGACAACCAACTCGTCGTTTCCAATCTGGGTTCCACTCCACAGCCTGGCGTGGCGCGTGATGTCCCCGAATAGTCTTCTCAGTATATGCCCAATACAGTACATCTCCACTTCCTTCCAATGCATATTTGTTGAGCGACAGCTTCTTGCCTCGTTGGTTCGTTGACAGCCAGCCAGAGTTCCTTGTTGCTTAGTCCTATTATTCTGGCCATGTGAGCTTCAGTAACGAGCCAGTGTAGGCAGTTGTTGATGAATATCTGTAGTTTGTTGGAAATCCCTTTCGTAACGCGCCAAGTCTCTCAACCATACATGGAAGTACTGACTTGACTGACTTTGGTGTTGAAAATCCGGATATTGTTCACGATTTATGCTGAGTGCAGAAGATCTCTACACTGGTTTCAGGTTATTGAAGGCCTGTCTTGCTGTGTTTCCGATCCTGACTTTGACGTCCTTGTCTGTGACGCCACCGCCTGTAGTTGAGACAGTGCTGCCTAGATAGGTGAAAGAGGCAAGAGAATCATAGTATTATCACTTTAACTAATAAACAATTTCTCTTTCCTCAAGTCATATAAAAATTGAGTTCATCTTTTTCTTTTTTGCTTTATTATATTATCATCTAGGTGTTAAATTGTCCCGCTCAAACAGTTGTGAAGGCTTTGTTACGAGCAGGCGCCTTGGATCATGATTTACATGAAAATGAGTAAGTAAACTGAGTAAACTGTGGATGTTAATGTGATCAGATTAAAATGTCATACAACTTTAACATTAGCTATGATATACCCAGAAAACATCAACCATTTTCCAACATTCCTCTAACTAATGATGAGTACCAACCTAAAATTCATAATCACCACAAACCTCAAAACTGAATTAATCTAGCGCAAATTGTTGATTAGCTTCGAGAGGTGATTCTCGAAGTTTCAATGAGAAGTTGTGGACAGTGGGTCCTATCAAGTCGAACATGAGGACAGTTAATCGACGATAACATTGGATGGATGTCACGATATATCGTGAACTGACAGAAGTAGGAAGAATGAACCAATGCATTCTGACCCAGTGGGTCAATGGTAGCGAGCTGCCCAAGGAACCTGAAGGCGGTAGGTTCGATCCCTGACGAGGTGGGGTCATGGGTGCATAGTGGTGAGATGTCCCATACTGGGAGGAAACAGGTGTCCACTGCTCCCGAGTTTCCAATGTCCCTCCAACTGCTGTCAATCCACGATGAATTCCAACCTGAGATAAAATACCTTTAAAATTGGCATTAAATATTGTTTATAGTTGTGTAAGTCATAGAGTGTTTAGAATAAAACAATCAGTCCAACGCTTCGCACGGAATTCTGATCACAATTTCATAAGAGAACTAATCAGATTGACTTCAATGGAACCAATGTTCTACAAAAGGCTATTAGACCACATCATCAAAGATTTGTAGGTAAAGCCTTACTTGTATGAGCACATTCAGGACCTTGGAACAGAGGCGATGAAGCATAGTTAACTGCTGCTTGATAACTACTAATCAATGAGCAGAAACAGTTACTCTAGCATTCACCTTTCAACACCAGTTTCCACTTGACTAGCATACCTCATTTGCCTAGTGAGTAGTGCTTTGACGTTTGAAGAGACGGGTACTATATCCATTATCAGTGGGAGCACTAATATCCAAAAAAGCTCAGATACACCCAATAGACAAGTTAGAAGTTAGATGAAAAGCATATACTGGATTTGACTAATATTCATCACTAAGTAAACTCTTATCTCCATTCTCAATTCATACTCCTATTTCCATTATTATCTCTCTGCTATCATCAAAAACTACCTCCGATAACATCTGAAAACCTCGCTGTGTTAATAATCCAAACTGAAAGTATAATACATCCATGGAAACCTCAGGTCAAAGATCTAAAAAATAGGGTTTAAGATAAAAAGAATGAGCAATATACTAAACATATTAGATTTGTTTATTTGATATAAAGCGCACAGTGATACAGTATTATTTACTTGATTACGTTTCGAGCATAAATTATTGCTCATAATCATATCAATGTAATCACACTTCTTTCGACATCTGATTTTATAGTCCTGTCACCTGATCTCTCTTTGTTTTTTTGTTTTTTGATTGGTAGTAAAGTTTTCCATATCTCTGGTATAGGTGTTGCGTCATTCCTATTACATGTGTTGGGTGTGGATTCGATGAACAAAGATTCAGTAATTAATCTCTCTCTCCACCTAGCTATATTAGACTTAAGTACAGTGGTTTTGTCCCATCCTATTGTGTGGTTGTGTGTTAATGAATGTAATGCAATGGCTGAGTGTTTTTCTAGGTTATTGATCTTATTGGGGTCTGCCGTTCTATGTTTAGCTAAATTCCTATGTTCTGTTAATCTAACTGACCCCGACCGGCTAGTTTGACCTATGTATTTGACTTCACAGTCATTACATGGAATTTGGTAGATTATATTATTTTGCTTAATTGGTTCTATCGGATCTTTTAGCCGACAAAGCTTACCTCTAAGTGAGTTTGTTGGTTTAAATGCCACCCTAATTCCAACCTTGTTGAGAATCCTACGTATGGTTTCTGATGTTCCTTCCTTGTATGGTATCACAATAGAGGTGTTGATTTCCTTTCTACTTATGTTGTCACTATTATTTGTATTTGTATTAGTGTTATTATTTTGCTTCTTATGCGTCCGTGTGAATTTCTTAATAAAATGATGGGGATAATTATTAATTATTAACGCTTCTTTTATGTGTTTCAATTCCTTATTTAAGTCCTTACAATGACTAGTGAGTTTCTCAGCTCTGTTATTTAGACATTTGACTAAACCCGCTTTAACTGACACTGGATGAGATGACTTGAAGTCTAGATATCTGTTAGAATGTGTTGGTTTTCTGTAGACGGTAGTATCTAAACCACCATCTATCCTTCGTTTTATTCTGCAATCCAACATAGGTAATTCTCCTTGTTCATTTTCTACTTCGTAGTGAATTGGATTGCGTTAACTACTGAGTTTATGTGTGTCAAGAAACTGTCGATATGTTCCGATTTCAACACTGTAAATGTGTCATCTACATATCGCCACCATATCTTAGGTGTCGGATTATATGTTCGTAAAGCCATATCTTCCCAACTATCCATAAATATATCTGCTACTATAGGGGATATTGGTGATCCCATTGCTACTCCTTCTGTTTGTCTATAATCTTTCCCTGAAACTTGAAGACTGTCGAGGTTAAGCATAACTGCACTCCTAACATGATTTCACCAACCGATGCCTTGGTTCTTTGAGTAAGTTGTGAGTCAGTATCTAGTTGATTTCTGACTGCCTCCAGTGCCATATTGATTGGTATTTTAGTATAAAGACTTGTTACGTCAAAACTAACCATTTTTTCATCCTCTTCTATGTGCAGGTCATTAAGTTTTTGTTTCAACTCGTAAGAATTTACTAGTCTAGAGTTGGAACGGTCTCTAACAGGACGTAATACTGATGCTAAATACTTTGATATCTCATATGTTGGTGTGTTTCGGAAGTCAACTATCGGCCTAATGGGATAACCTGCTTTATGAACCTTAATAGTACCGTAAATTCTGCTAGGATTATTAGTTTTTGGCATTAAAGTAAACCATTCGGACTTACCTAGAGATGGCTTCAGTCGGCGTATCAGATCTGTTGTAGATTTCTTAATTTTATTCATGACAGTATCTATAGGTTTCTTAATCTCTTCATATGGCCCTGTTTGGATATGTTCATCCATTTTTTTAAGATAATCCGATTTGTCCATAACTACTGTTGAGTTACCTTTGTCAGATTTCGCAATTACTATACTATACTATACTATACTATTATACTACACAGTTTAATCGACAATCAACGTTAAACGAATGTCCAAGCTGCATGCATCCGGCATGCTCTTTAACTATTACAAACACCCAGATAACCACTCATACAACAATATCTAATGAAATATACATAGAAATGCATAAAACACACACCACATAATCAAGTGTCGAAAAATTATTCAGATATCTCACTTATAATCCAAATAATTTTCAAACATTTACACAATAAATGAATTCATCAAATCGTTGAGCAACGATTCGAAACTCAAACCACTTAAAAGCACAACAAAATAGTTTCATCAACATCATCTTTCATTTCTCCTAACTCTGCAATCTTCGACAAGCATCTGATTCCTCAGAAAAGCATCTTTCATCTCCTTAAACATCCTGTTGACTGAAGATGCTGACAAGATGTACAGTCTTCTGCAGTCAATGACAGGTGATTTCAGAATGTTTCGAATGCCTTTCTCATCACCCAAGTGCCAATTGTTGCTCCAACACTCGTCTTCAACACTGCCTCGATTAATGATAGGAAGTGAAGTGTTTGAGTGTGTTGAACATGTCAGTTACCTGGGAAGTTGAATCAGCTGTGATGGCTCAGTGGCCAACAAAATCTCTCCACGTATACGAAGGACCCAGTCGACTTCTACCTACTCACCCATCTGTGGCACCAACCAGATATACGATTGTGTATTGAGGATCGAATGTACTGTGTTCCAGTCCCCTCTGTTGAGCTGTGTGACCATGGAGCATGCTCATTAAAGAAAGAAGACATGAGTAATCTTCGGTTGTTTGAATTTGCTTCGTCGTGTCAATACGTGAGTAACACAGAAGTCAGATGTAGAGTCTGAGGGAGGAGAGGTAAGTTAGTTGATACTGTTGTAAACCTCCATCGACTGAAATGGCTGACTGGAACACGTGTCATGTAGGCCTAGCCATAGTCTGCCACGTCACACAATATTGGTCGAAGTAGGTACGTGCTAGGAGGAGATTCGAGGTGTCCAGACTGACAAATTGCATCAATGCTCGAACTACTTGACTATTCACTTGAGCCACGTATGGCGATGCACACCAGTCGTTGCTACCAGTGGGACAGGAAAAACCAGTGTCTGGCGACTCTACGTGGAATGTCTGAGAACCCACGTCACTATCACACATGTATACACACATCAGTTTCATCTCAACCACCACACTTATTCTCATCAATTTCTCATTCCTCACCCCCTATCTCTTACTCCATTCCACTCATTTCCACCGAATCTCCTCTCTTTCCTCATCTCCCACTCCATTGCCTTATCACTTGATGTGCTGATATGAGGTGTGGCAAGTCGAACCGTTACACTGTAATGCCTGGTTCTATGTTGATATTGTTCACGATAACAACTAACTACTTGGTGTAGAAGAAAACCGTCAGCTGTATCACTGTGACTGTTGGGAGTGAACAGCTAAGCAGAATTTACATTGTAGCCACATCACAGAATATTCGACATATTCGCATCTCATATCCAACAAAACAATTCATGAAGGGAACACCATTCATTCTCCATGTTGGTAAACACTCCACAATACTATGAGGCTGATCCATGTCAAACACGAATGTGGAACACATTGACAAATCTCACAATCATCTTCAAATACAACAAAATAACGTTGAACAGTTGCATATCATCAAATCTCCACACCAACAAACTTCAACCAACAAATACAAATAATGAAATAGGAGGATATTTATAACACTCTGCAAACGATTCAACAGTTAACTACCAGATTGAAGCATCAGCAATCACTACTGTTCAACAATGCAAATGAGGAGACACACACACTTGAAGACTACTGACATGTTTGATCGGTCACAGTGAGGACAGCAAACTGCGAATAGAGACACACATTTACCAGGTAGACAGACTCGAGTAATGAGACATCAGAAGTGCCACACAATATCGAGGATTTTCAACCAGTGGAATGATGAAGTAAGTGAGTAGGTGAGTAAGAGAGGGGAAGTGGAATGAAGAGATTTGTGTGACTGGGAAACATGTAGGTTGAGGGAATAACGCTTGATGGAGGAGGAGGAGGAGAAGAGATTATTTACCATGTGAGTGAGTGGTGGATCAACTACAGTCCATCTCTGAATGTAGGAGAAAGTCAGCACTCACATGTCCTCTAATCATCAGCTCACTATAACATATTCAGTCCGAGTTCATTCCACCTGTAATCATGTGAAATCACTTCAAGTCGAAAATATGAAATCGTTTATGGTGGAGATGAGGATCGATTCTCATTTCCAAGACTTATAGATCCATCAATATACGATTGTGGGGAAAATGAAATGATGTGGGTAAATTGAGATGGACATTTCAAAGTGTCCACCCAGTCTCTTTGATCTGTGAGTATGTGTGAGCTGGTAGATGCATTTGAAAGTGATATGGTAAGGGAATGCATGATGTTTGAGTATGGTAGTTGAATAGTTGTCAGGTGTGTGGAAGTTTAGGTGGTTCAACAACCTATGAAGACTTCTACATCTGAGTCTTGTGAATAATTCATCATCTTTGAAGCAGAACTACTTGAAGCAGGAATTCTATGTAACTGTACCGTCGATCACGATTTTAGTTAGGATTATACATGAAGTGTCAATGAAAATATTTGTGTGTTGATGCACTATCATATAAACGTTTACTAGAAGTATTGATTTCTGCAAACAGCTAATTTCTGGAACAGATTACCTTTCTTCTAATCTTCGTTCTTCATACATGAACAGTTGTTGAAGGAAGATACTTTATCAAGCTAATAGTAGTCACTGTCTCCCTTTTTTCGAACTGCATGTCTCCTAAATACCTCAAAACTGATTGTGTCGACAAGTGATATCACATGGAAGGTGGTATACTTCATTTCTGCCTATGATTAAACCAAAAATATAGATATGTAGACGATACTTATGTCTTCCTTAAAAAAGATGATATATAAAACACTAAACAACGCTTCCAATGACATCGAATTCACAATGGAGAAGGAGTCAAACAACCAACTATCATTCATGGATGTTTTAGTCAGTGGAACCAGTATCACAAAACTGGAAAATCAAGTATACACAAAGTCAGTACACACTCATCAAATCCTCAACTACAGTACACACTACCCAACAATACACAAAATTACTTGCATACAAACTCTACTCAAAACAGCGACGACACACTGCAGTATAACAACTTCACACACAAATGAACAACATTACTCCATAGCTATCACAAAGAAAAACAATTATCCATAAAACTGTTTCAGAAGATACCTATCCCGTACAATATCAATTATAAAGCCATCAACAGAAATCAACATACAAATGCATCATCCAACCATACATAAAGAATATTTGATAGATCACGACAAGATTACTGAGATCACAGGGAATTGGTGTGGCGCCTCATAAACCAACGAATTCCGTTGAAACTATATTGTGCAGACCAAAGAATCCAACAACCAAAGAAGACAAACCAAATATCATTTACAAAATCAATTACAACAATTTCGAATAGTCCTCTTCACCCTTGTTTACATGAACACCGATTAGCTATCAAGCGTCACAACATCACTTCATCGCTTCTCATTTCAATGTACGTGGATAACAACCATAAACATGAATTGAATTTCGACAATGTAGAAATCTTTGACGGAGAGAGGAAACACAAGACATATCAGATAGAATTCATTCGAAGCTTGGCATTCAGGAAAATCAGTCAGTCAGTCAGTCAGTCGATGAGTAATCAACAGATGTATGAACATAGACCCAATCTATCCAACCAATGTGAAAAATGATAAACGACAGGAAGGTTAGAGATGAAGTAGAGGAACAGCGAACGAGAAAATCTATACAGTCGGTCAAGTATACAACAATCACAGGAAACAATCTAGCAGACACAAACCAGTTTGTTGGGGGAAGCTAGTAGATGACTGATGGAGAGATGTTGACAGCTGACTTCATAGTGAAGTTGGTGCTGATGATATCGTCTAAGACCAAGACGATCTACCTGAGCTTCAAATGTTTTCCACTTCACAGTTTTACATGAGTTGTAGTCAATATATTCCTCTATTGATTTTTCACCATCTATTGTTATTTGTCTTCTCTGACCATCTTTTCTAGATGCTTACTTTATTCACAATGCTGTCGCATGATCTAATTTGTCTGTCAATCAATTCTTCTCCTCATCTATGCACTCACCATTCAGCTAGCTATTTCTGTCATCGTGGAGATAAGAACGTTATATGCTAGAATGAAAGTGAAACCACTCAGTGAGCTGATCTTCTCTCAACACACCGAATCGAATACAGCTGTAAAAATACTGTTGCTGGGTAATTGATGAAAACTGAGATTATCTGATAACAGGTTAACTATGTCAAGTGAATATAGTGACTGGAAGAGAACACTTGATCAAACCATGACCACATTTCGTCCGCGGTTGTATATCTCATTGTCGACATCTTCAGCTTTCTCATAACTGATAAGTCGCTTCGAATTTACACACACTATCACTTATTTCTCATTATTAGTCGTTTAGTAAAGTTATTCAATTCAGGTTAGTAGTTGTAAAGAGGTTATAATTCTATTCTATAATTCTATTCTACACTGGATAAGTAAATTATATGTGATTCAGTTAAGAATTTGTAGGCAATATTGTTAACTATGAGACTGTATGTAGTCGTAGATACTTGAATTACCGCAAGATGTACTAATCAAGTAATGATGTGTAGATTAAAGATGATCTTTTGCAAAAATGGCTGTCATTGTAGAGTTGAGAAGATTTTTTTTTCAACGTTATAAAGATATTTAGTAATGATAGGCAATGGCTAGCAGTGGAATGCAGGATGCGCATTTCGTCCTATTTCGGACTCGTCAGCTGGATGTACCTGCTTCCCAGTGAGTGATGTTTATTCCCACCGGGACTCGGGAGCGATCGCTTCAAACGCCAGCGCGTTATCCACTACACCACCGAGCCACAATAGCCACTTCTTGTTATAAAGATAGTTATGAATAATACGTAACTTACACTGTTTGGAGATGCCTATTCTCTAGCTACTCACTTTTCGCAACAATATAATAATTTTTTATTTATTTACTATTCTCTATATAAGATGTTTATTTAATTAGCCTTTTAGTTAGAAATTTTATTTATTTATTTATTTTCTTGTTTAATTTCTTGTTGAACAGAACTGATGACTCTCAACTTATACCTAGAGTTCCATCTGAACCAGAATTAAGAATGCCATTGAAAACGCATACACTAGAATTTCAAACACCGCCAATGATAACTAAAGAGGAAAGTGTCTACAGTGAATCAGAAATTAGTAAGAGAAAAATACACATTAAAATTGTATATATTCCTAATTATTCTTTAATATATATCTATCTTACAACGGTTACAATCAATGTACACTATGGATATATATCACAAGAGTTGATTCTTGAACCTTTAGACTTTATTATAATTGCATGTATTACACCATCGTTGATTGGTCTAAATTGATCGATCTCTATTAGCATATGGGCTCCTGTTCGATGTCTCGGTGGTGTAGTGAATAACACACTGGCGTTTGAAGTGATCGCCCCCAAGTTCGAGTCCTGGTGGGAACAACACTCACTGGGTGGTAGGTAAATTCAGCTGACGAGTCCTAAAAAGGACGAAATGTGGATCCTGGATTCCACTACTAGCCACGATCATCATTAACACAATTAGAACGTAGGCAATATCGAGGCATCCGCACAGGAGCCCATATGCTAATAGAGACCGATCGATTCGGTCCAATCAGCGACGGTATTATATAAAAACAATTATATTAGAAACTATACTAGTTGAACAAGAAGTAGCTATCCTGGCTCGGTCGTCTAGCGAATAACGCTTTGGCGTTTGAAGCGACCGGTCCAGAGTTCGAATCCTGGTGGGAACAACACTCACTGGGTGGTAGGTACGTTCAGCTGACTAGTCATAAATAGGACGAAGTGCGAATCCTGGATTCCACTACCAGCCACGATCCATCATTACTTTAAAACTTTATGGTAATATCACAACGTAAATGGAAACTAAACTTTCGACAACTTACATCATAAGCATGGTCAGTGAAAAAACTTGTGATAAAATATAATTCCATTTTAGACTTGGTTATTTGATATAACGCACAGTGTGATACAATATTATTTACTGGATGACGTTTCGAGCACAATTTATCGCTCATTTTCATATCATGATATGAATATAGACAATGAATTATAGGCGATACGTTATCCAGTAAATGATACTGTTCCTTCACGGTCTGATATTTGTAATATACAGACTGATATGAGATTCCTTTATTATGGCCCAACAGCTTTTCATTCGTTTATTCTAAATGGTAGTAAAATTCTTCAGATATCTACAATATGCATTATGAATCCATTCTTGTTATTTGTTTGTAAAGTGTGTTGATTCAATGAACAAGGATTCCTTGATCAACCTCTTCCTGTATCCAGTTATGATGGATTTTAGAATTATCATCCTAGTGCTGAATGTAACATGACTAAGAGGGAATTCAAATCATTTGTAGTGTTGGGATTAGGCTGAAATTTAAATGCACAAACTTACTTAGAGAGATCCAGTAGAGTCAATTCAGTAAAATAATCTAATCTATAGAAATAGAATGTAATGATTGTGAGGTTTAGGCATATAGGTTAGAACAGTCGATCAAGGTCAGTATGAATAGCAGAGAACAAACATTTAGTGAAACATACACTGGTAGACCCTACTAAGATAAATAATTTAGAGAGGAACTTGACTATCACTCTGCAAGCACTGACACATAATCATACTAAAGGGTGGGTGAGATAAAGTGAAAATTTTTAAATCCAATGTACCTAGGTGTAGGAAGAGATTGATCATTGAATCAGTACGCCTAGAACACAAATAACAGGAATGATTCATCACACATATTCCAGATATTTGGAAAATTTTACTACTACCTTTAAGATAAAAGAATGAAGAATTATTGAACTATGTGATAAGTGAAGTTTGAGATATTGCTTTACTTGATGTCTGAAAAAAAGAAACTGATACAGCTAGACACGTTTCATGCAATGATTAAGGTGGTTGAACAAAGTCTTTACTTTTTATCTGATCTCAGAAGATAAGCCTACTTTAATGAAATCTTAGGGCTGCCATTTGTTCAAAATGAATTGTTCGTCTTACTTTGTTGGTCAAAAGACGAAAGTTTCACTCGTTCACGACCAAGCTCATCAGCTGTTAGCCCAGACGAATTCAGTTCATCTTGACGAACTAGTTTAGCTCACGGTCATCTAATCTGGCTGGTAAAATCTACAGAACTGCCTGATTATATTATTATTATTTGTCCCTTGGGTTCCTAATGGAACATACAGCTTCACTAGCACGTCTCCATTCCACTCTCTTCTCTAAAATCTTTTCAACCTGGTTCCACCACTGCCCACAAGCTCTCATTTCCTCCTCATACCACCCTCTTCTCGGACGCCCAACTCGTCGTTTCCTATCTCGGTACCACTCCATGGCCTGAGGAGTGATGTCCCCGAATAGTCTTCTCAGTGCATGCCCAATACAGTCCATCTCCACTTCCTTCCAATGTATATTTGTTGAGCGATAGCTTCTTGCCTCGTTGGTTCGTTGACAGCCAGCCAGAGTTCCTTGTTGCTTAGTCCTATTATTCTGGCCATGTGAGCTTCAGTAACGAGCCAGTGTAGGCAGTTGTTAATGAATATCTGTAGTTTGTTGGAAATCCCTTTCGTAACGCGCCAAGTCTCTAAACCATACAGGAGCACTGACTTGACTGACTTTGGTGTTGAAAATCCGGATATTGTTCACGATTTATGCTGAGTGCAGAGGATCTCTACACCAGTTTCAGGTTAATGAAGGCCTGTCTTGCTGTCTTTCTGATCCTGTCTGCTTTGACGTCCTCATGTGTGCCGCCACCGTTTGTAGTTGAAACGATGCTGCGTAGATAGGTAAAAGAGGCTACTTTCTTTAAGTTTCTCCTGTTGGTGGTGATTGGAGCTTGTTGTTGTTGGTGGTGGTGTTGGTTGGGTATCATCATCACCTCTATCTTCTCTACGTTCACTTGAAGTCCCGTCTTCACTACCTGGTTGGTTTCCAACTATTCAACTTGTCCAATAGCAGTTGGTTCCGTTAATTCATGATACATTTTTGTCGAAGATCACATCTTGTAAACTTGAATGGAAGTTTTCCGATGGTAACCTTGTTGACACTACAGTTGAGCAGTTGTAAAAGCTACTCAGTTGTGAGAAATACCAACATGAACCATGCCACTTGTAAATCATTCTTTTGTGAATAGTTGATTATCATTTTGACTATCCGAGATAATTGTAGCCGGATTCAAACCAGTGACCATCAGGTTTTCAGCCCAATGCTCTAAAAACTGATCTACGAAAGGTTTGCCAGACTATCATTTGGATTCGTTACGCTTTTCTACCGCTTAATCGTATTTACACTGGCTGTCTAGCAAGGACTTCTCATCTAAATCCAAATTTAACTGAATTACAGCATCGAGCTGGAAACCCGGTGGTCTATGGTTAGAATCTGACCGTAAACCAAATTTTCATTTCACCTTCAATCATTACCCAGTATCAATAGTTGACAGTGTTTGTTTTTCAATATTTTTCATCACTTTTACGTTTCTTTTTTGGGGTTTTTTTTTCCATTTTTTTCGGCTGTAAACAACAGATCGTGAATGGATTGATCGAGAAGTTTCACTATTGAACTACTGTTTTGATGATATTGAGAAAGATCTGAAAATGATTAAAAGTAGATCTAGTAGACAGTTTGCTAACTCAGAACCATCTGTGGCTACATCAAGTCGATCAAAATCTCGAATTTCAAGTGTCTCAACAAATCAAACATCCGGTAAGTAATTTTATTGTAAGGCGGGTATTCATAAGTTAATTTAGCCAGAGTAATCAAAACGTTTTCCACTATTATCTTACATTAAGCAAGTTATTGTGTAAATACTCTCCAGAATTTACTTAGAAAGTCAAAAGGGATGCAAATAGAAAGGAGTAGTAGTAATATAATTCATGATTGTAGATAGATAGATAAAGAATCCCGAACCTTCTTCTTGTTTCAAGTGAGTATTCATAATGAAGGACGACCTGCTGGAGAATTACTGAAAATCTAGGAGCACTGGACAGTTATTCTGTTCTAGTAAGAAGTTCATCAGCGGTTGGCAACCATGAAGCCCCTGGGGGGGGGCTTATTCAGGCCTGTCAGGTTTCTCGAGGAGTATGCTAACTATTCAACCAGTAGATTAGAAGGTACTGGCCGACATTGTTGTACTTTTGTCGATTCACATTATAGTGCAAATATAATCTAATCCTGTCGTTGAGTATTTGTCCTCATATCCTACTTGGTTTGTCTCATAAGTCATGACTTTTTATTAGAAGTATGGGAAATCTAGATTAGATTCTAACTAAATGCCTGAATGGTCAACGTTCTTTCCATGAGATTTGAAGGTTCTATGTATGGTCACCATAGGTTTCATTGATGCGTACATCTGAGAAGTCATTTGCTAGGGTAGAACAGCTGTCCAGAACTCCGAGATTTTCATTGGTTCTACAACTAATATCAGTTCGTAATGAACAGCATACATGGGAAGAACAGAAAGCTGAATAAACTGATTTAATTTGCCCAATACCAGGTAATGACCGTGAGGTTGAGTACATAATAAGTTCCAGTAGCCAAGAATGGATACCATTCTGTAGAAATCTTCATAGGTTGTTGAACCACCTAAACTTCCACACACCTGACAACTATTCAACTATCATACTCAAACATCATGCATTCCCTTACCATGTCACTTTCAAATGCATCTACCAGCTCACACATTCGCACAGATCAAAGAGACTGAGTGGACACTTTGAAATGTCCATCTCAATTTACCCACATCATTTCATTTTCCCCACAACCGTACATTGATGGATCTATAAGTCTTGGAAATGAGAATCGATCCTCATCTCCACCATAAACGATATCATATTTTCGACTTGAAGTTATTTCACATGATTACAGGTGGAATGAACTCGGACTGAATATGTTATAGTGAGCTGATGATTAGAGGACATGTGAGTGCTGACTTTCTCCTACATTCAGAGATGGACTGTAGTTGATCCACCACTCACTCACATGGTAAATAATCTCTTCTTCTCCTCCTCCTCCTCCTCCTCCTCCTCCTCCTCCTCCTCCTCCTCCTCTCCCCTCCTCCTCCTCGTCCTCCTCCATCAAGCGTTATTCCTTCAACCTACATGTTTCCCAGTCACACAAATCTCTTCATTCCACTTCCCCTCTCTTACTCACCTACTCACTTACTTCGTCATTCCACTGCTTGAAAATCCTCGATATTGTGTGGCACTTCTGATGTCTCATTACTCGAGTCTGTCTACCTGGTAAATGTGTGTCTCTATTCGCAGTTTGCTGTCCTCACTGTGACCGATCAAACATGTCAGTAGTCTTCAAGTGTGTGTGTCTCCTCATTTGCATTGTTGAACAGTAGTGATTGCTGATGCTTCAATCTGGTAGTTAACTGTTGAATCGTTTGCAGAGTGTTATAAATATCCTCCTATTTCATTATTTGTATTTGTTGGTTGAAGTTTGTTGGTGTGGAGATTTGATGATATGCAACTGTTCAACGTTATTATGTTGTATTTGAAGATGATTGTGAGATTTGTCAATGTGTTCCACATTCGTGTTTGACATCGGTCAGCTTCATAGTATTGTGGAGTGTTTACCAAGGTGGAGAATGAATGGTGTTCCCTTCATGAATTGTTTTGTTGGATATGAGATGCGAACATGTCGAATATTCTGTGATGTGGCTACAATGTAAATTCTGCTTAGCTGTTCACTCCAACAGTCACAATGATACAGCTGACGGTTTTCGTCTACACCAAGTAGTTAGTTGTTATCGTGAACAATATCAACACAGAACCAGGCATTACAGTGTAACGGTTCGACTTGCCACACCTCATATCAGCACATCAAGTGATAAGGCATTGGAATGAGAGATGAGGAAAGAGAGGAGATTCGGCGGAAATGAGTGGGATGGAGTAAGAGATAGGGGTGAGGAATGAGAAATTGATGAGAATAAGTGTGGTGGTTAAGATGAAACTGATGTGTGTATACATGTGTGATAGTGACAAGGTATTTCCTGTCCCACTGGTAGCAACCGACTGGTGTGCATCGCCATACGTGGCTCAAGTGAATAGTCAAGTAGTTCGAGCATTGATGCCATTTGTCAGTCTGGACACCTCGAATCTCCTCCTAGCACGTACCTACTTCGACCAATATTGTGTGACGTGGCAGACTATGGCTAGGCCTACATGACACGTGTTCCAGTCAGCCATTTCAGTCGATGGAGGTTTACAACAGTATCAACTGACTTACCTCTCCTCCCTCAGACTCTACATCTGACTTCTGTGTTACTCACGTATTGACACGATGAAGCAAATTCAAACAACCGAAGATTACTCATGTCTTCCTTCTTTAATGAGCATGCTCCATGGTCACACAGTTTAACAGATGGGACACAGTAGAGACACAGTACATTCGATCCTCAATACACAATCGTATATCTGGTTGGTGCCACAGATGGGGTGAGTAGGTAGAAGTCGACTGGTCCTTCGTATGCGTGAAGAGATTTTGTTGGCCACTGAGCCATCACAGCTGATTCAACTTCCCAGGTAACTGACATGTTCAACACACTCAAACACTTCACTTCCTACCCTAATCGAGGCAGTGTTGAAGACGAGTGTTGGAGCAACAGTTGGCACTTGGGTGATGAGAAAGGCATTCGAAACATTCTGAAATCACCTGTCATTGAGTGCAGAAGACTGTACATCTTGTCAGCATCTTCAGTCAACAGGATGTTTAAGGAGACGAAAGATGCTTTTCTGAGGAATCAGATGCTTGTCGAAGACTGCAGAGTTAGGAGAAATGAAAGATGATGTTGATGAAACTATGTTGTTGTGCTTTTAAGTGGTTTGAGTTTCGAATCGTTGCTCAACGATTTGATGAATTCATTTATTGTGTAAATGTTTGAAAATTATTTGGATTAGAAGTGAGATATCTGAATAATTTTTCGACACTTGATTATGTGGTGTGTGTTTTATGCATTTCTATGTATATTTCATTAGATATTGTTGTATCAGTGGTTATCTGGGTGTTTGTAATAGTTAAAGAGCATGCCGGATGCATGCAGCTTGGACATTCGTTTAACGTTGATTGTCGACTAAACTGTGTAGTATATTGCTCATTCTTTTTATCTTAAGCCTTATTGTTTAGATGTTTGACCTGAGGTTTCCGTGGGATGTATTATACTTTCAGTTTGGATTATTGACAGACCGAGGTTTTCGGATGTTATCGGAGGTAGTTTTTGGTGATAGCAGAGAGATAATAATGGAAGTAGGAGTATGAATTGAGAATGGAGATAAGAGTTTACTTAGTGGTGGCTGTTAGTGAAATGCAGGATAAGCTTCTCATGGTATTAGAAACTCGCCAGGTTAATGTAACTGCACTTCACTGGGTAATGCGTTTCCACTGAAAATTATACCTTGTAGCTGTCGCTACAAACGTCAAAGCTGTGCTCTCTAAGCAAGTGAGGAATGGCAGACACTTCTTGTGTAGTGGGTATCAGTTGTTGTTTGTCCATACTTGTACTTCCTCATCGGTATACCCGGTTGAATTGTTCGACTACTGTTGCAGATTTGTTCTTATGTGAGTGCTTCGATACTGGCTGAATATTGTCGTTCTCTGGAGGCGGACCTTCATTAAGTGTTTTAATGCATCTTGAATATTCAGGCATTATCACGTTATGCTCATAGCAGCACATTAACCAACGCAGGTCGTGCAATTCGTTGCAGTACAGCTAAGGGGGAATTCCCTGTACTAATAAACAATAATAGAAGAGATGGCAGATGAATAACTGACAAACGTAGAACTTTAATTTTGTAAACAGCAGTTTATACGCTCAAAATATAGAAAATGTATTCGTTAGCAAGTATACATCTAAAGTATTAAAAAAGTCAGAAGCAAATTTTTACAACATTGTAGGCTAACTGTGAAGATTTCCATCCACTGATTGCAAGAAAATACGCACAGACTAGCCGCTCTAGAATCTGTTAAATCAGTTCATTACTTCAGGTGTTCCCCTACACTTCTGAATACTTAGCAAGAGAAGGAACAGACGAAAATGGCATGAAGAGAATACCAGAGAATACAACATATCTAAGCCAACTTCAGACTGGAAACTAAAGTGACGGATTAAAACAGTTAGGAATAGGTGAACGATACTAGGGCAATGAGATACTTGAACTTGGTATGAACAGAGACTGTTTTTCTTCAACGCCTTTTTTTCACTTGGCTACAAAAACACCATAAGACAAAGATCAACGTGTTAGTGTAAAGGAGACACTTTACTCGACAAAAATACTTCATTTATATACAGTTTTATGAACATATTAACCACTAGGTCAAAAGTTAAATGGACTATTCTGATTGGCCACTTGTAGGACAAATTATCCAACAAGGATTATTCTGATTGGTTTGCCATTAGTGTGTGACTTAAAGCTGAAAATGACTACCACTGGATTTCTTTGACATCTTGTTCTGGGTTAGAAATTCATTTTAAGACCATGCGATTGTTTTTTTTTTATACTACTGAAAACTTTTTAAGTAGTTTACTTCATTAGGACTTTTTATTTCTAAAACTGGCTTTTTTTTATTTTACCATCATATATGTGTTTGGATAAATAATACTTTTTGCAACACCTACAACTTGAATATTCCTTGAGGACATTTCAGACATAAATCAGATTAGTCAGTCATGAAGTGGGATAATGAATAAATTTTGTCTCGAATATATTTCGATAACGCTATTAGAAGACGAAGATTATCTGAAAAATGTGATGTATTTGCGCAATACATTTCGAACAATCTGATCACACATTTACTTGTCAAGTCAATTTATATATGAAAATTAAAGGTCAAATATAGTGAATATGAAAAGGTTGTGACACTAGTCTTGGTAATATAATCAGATAAGGATTACCAAGGTAAATTAAGTGAAACAACAAATTGTTTTTGTACACACAGCGGGGGATTAAGTTTACGAATGGCTAACGCTTCGGCAAACTTCAGTATGCGCCCCTGATTATTCCTGTATATTATCTTAAACGCTGTTTTCGTATTAACCCTGTGATTCATTTCAATAATATGTTTTGCTATAGATGACGATGGATGTCTGTCACCTGCACTTATCAAAGTTTGTGTGTTAAACTGTTTTTCTAGCCATTTGGGGATGTGTTCACCCACCCTAGTCTGTCTGCATTGAACGATTACTCCTCCCTATGTATGTGTGCCCACACATACATGTAAATTGGTAAACACAGTAGGATGTGATGTAATCATTTGTGCGAGGTTGAGGTTTGTGGTGAAGCAGGTGTTTTTTTGTCTCAACAATGATAAGCTGAGCTGTATAGTATGTTTTACTGATGATAACAGATTTTAATCTCTGCTTCAATATCATACTACTCATCTCTCGTCTGTATGGTACTTTAAGAAATATGCTTTTCTTCGGGACCGAGGAAACTGTAGGCTTTGGGGTCAACTGTTTTTTACAATGGTTGACAAACTGTAATGGATAACCGTTTTCCACTAGAGTGTCTGTCAGAAACTTATTCTCATCATCCATCGTATCAGATGTACAAATACGTTGGATTCTATTGAACAAGCATCTTACCAAGCCTCTCTTATATTTCATCGGACAAAAACTATGGAAATTCAAATACTGTCCTGTCCAAGTTGACTTCCTATATATTGATCGTTTTATAGATCCATCTTCCCTTCGGCACAAGAGTATATCAAGAAATGCAAGTTGATGGTCTTTTTCTTCCTCACATGTCAGACTGATATGATCTTGTACGGTATTAAGCCTTTTTAACAACCTCTTAGCATCCTCATCTGTGTCACATATTACAAAGATATCATCTACATACCTTCTATAGAGTGTGACATTGGTGATTAGATCTTGAGCCATTAGTTCAGTATGTGACATATATAAGTCAGCTAATAACGGTCCTAATGGACTCCCCATGGCTACACCATCAATTTGCTGAAAGTGTTCACCTTCGAAAGTGAAATGAACCTTATCAGTACATAATAAAAGCAGTTCTTTCAAATAAGTTGAAGGAATAGGAAAAAAAAAGGATAATTCGAAGATATGCGGTCATAAAGAATATTAATTGTCTTCGTTAGAGGCACATTTGTAAACAGAGAGTTAACATCAAAAGAATACATTTTCTTATGTTTAATATTCAAATCAGTAAGATAATCAACAAGTTCAAACGTATCTTTCAGTGAATACTTACATAAATCATTATGAATCGGGCTCAGTAATTCTGCTAACCACCTCACATTTTTCAGATAATCTTCGTCTTCTAATAGCTTTATCGAAATTTATTAAAGGGACTAATTGTTTTGAATATATTTATCTAAATTTGTAAGTGAAACTAATCTTTTCACATGTAAAAATTTTGAATTTTATTAAAACAACCATCTATTTCTCCTTTCAAATCTTATAGGATCCTTACCTGGAGAATTGGATGGACCTATGAAATCAGCTTCTGTTGATTTCTATGAGAAATTGAAATTTGCTTCTATTCTGTTAGCAAGACTTGATGGTTATGTTGTGGATCCAAACTCAGCTGTACTAATAAGACAACTGTTCACTCTTTTAAAGTAAGTAGAATCCGTTGAAATTATCAATGAACAGAACTTGATACTATAAGAGATTGACTTTGAAATAATGAAAAAGATTTGTAGCTTAGAATAAGAAGGATGATGATGGTTCAATATTCTTTGAACTTTACTATTTTATTGGAAATGTTTCATCACTAGCCTTCATGACATAGTCAACATTTACTTTAACTAAGAAGTTAAGCATATTCGAATGTTACATGAATCTTTAGTCATTGTTTTTAGTGACCTTGAGTGTTGTCATATTGTAAGGCGGGTATGAGATTTTCATTACAACTTGACCTTGTTAACCGTAAATTTCACTCGGTCATGTAAGTTATATCACGTTATTTGTTATGGTCACATTTTATATCATTATTGATTTGTTTGGTCAATTTATCCTTGATTGATGAAAAGCTGTAATTCTTCTTCAGGAGATTGAAGATTGGGTCTATGTCCATATGTCTGTTGATTGACTTTTCGTTGAAATGTTACGCTTTCAACTTTCGAACTTACTCTTTGAAGGATCCCTATATTTTCCCAGTTATGATGAATACTATCTTAAAAATGAGACCACAATAAACCTCAAAATACATTACTGTACGGTTTTCATTAGTGTCATGCTTCCAGATGGATATTCTGAAGTTTTAATGGAGGCGCTGGCCTGTTGGCCCACTCAGTCGGAGAGGAAGCGTATGCCAACTGAGAAGCTTAGTAGACAGTCACGCTATATCACAAAATGACAGAAGTAGGAAACTGTGAATCAGTGATCTGCAACTCAGTTGTTGAGTGGTTAACACATTTACCATGTAACTTGATGGTGTCAGGTTTGTTCCTTGACGACGTGAGTGGTGGATGCGCACTCCTTAAAAGTACCATACTAGGACAAAAAAGTTGTCTACTCTTCGCAGGTTTCCGACTGTACGCAAACTGATGTTAGTCCGTGATGAATACTCCCCTAAAAACTAAGTTTATTATCAGTAACAAGTCAACATACAATGATCATGGTAGCGTAAGCGGATTTTCTTTTCCAATGACAAAATATCAATTAAACTACATTCAAACAGGAATAAAATATATCACAAGTCTGTGTAGTGAGGAATTTCAGGTTAGTGAAAGCCTGTCTTGCAGTCTTTCCGATCCTAACTTTGATGTGCCTATGCCGCCTGTAGTTGAAACGATGCTGCCTAGGTAGGTGTAGGTGAAAGAGGCTACTGCTTTTAGGTTTCTCCCAATAATGGTGATCGGTGCTTGTTGTTGGTTGGGTATCTTCATCACCTCCGTCTTCTCTACGCTCACTTGAAATTCCGTTTTCGTTTCCTTTTCTGTCAACTTGTTAGTATTTGCCTGTAGATCTTCGAGTTTGTGCTACAACATGTTATACATAAATCATCATTGGCAAAATCCAAATCTTCTAAGGTCTTTTCATCGGTCCAGCGTATGCCCATCTTCTCACTCCTCATGGTTGCTGCATGATCCAGTCGATCACAATCAGGAAGATCACCTGTGATAGTAGACAGCCTTGTTTCACTCCAGTCTTCACTTCAAAGGCATCACTGAGCTTTCCACTGTGAATCACTTGGCTTGTGGCGTCTTCATATAGTTGTTGAATGAGATTGATAAAGGTTTGTGGTATTCTGTAGTTGTGAAGCAGCTGCCTACCAAATTACTTCTCATTCAACGCTATCGAAAGTCTTTTCAAAGTCGATGAAGTTGAGGTAGAGAGTTGACTGCCATTCTATACTCTATTCTATGATGATGCGTAGTGTAGTGTTGCAATTTGATCTGCAAATGATTTGTACTTCCTGAATCCAGCCTGTTCGGGTAGTAATTTTGAATCCAGAGCATCCTTTAGTCTCTCCAGAATGATGCGGCTTAATATTTTGCTTGCTTTGGGTGGACAGCAGCATGATTCTTCGCCAGTTCCTGCAAATGCTTAGGTCATCCTTCTTCGGGAGTTTGAAAAGTACCCCTTCTTCCAATTTTCAGGTATCTTTTCTTCCCTCCAAACCTTCTGCAGTGGTGGTGTGAGCATGTCCGCTGTTGTCTCTACGTCTGTTTTCAATGCTTCTGGAAGAATTCCACCTGGTCCAACTACTTTCCCGGATTTCAGCAACTTTATGGCGTTTAGGACTTCGTCTTTTGTCACAGGGTTGGTTTTTACTGGTAATTTTGTGTCTGGGCTGCTAGTGGTATTTCTGGACGAAGTGCAGGTGGTGGTGGTAGTCGACTGAAGAGTTTTCTGAGGTGATCAGCACATTGTTTCCTTTGTTTCTCCTCTTTGGTAACTAGCTTTCCTTCACTATCTTTATTCGTTTCATCTGCTTTGATCTCTTCCCAGATAGTAACCTGATTATTTGATATAGTGTTGTCAGTTCTCTGGCTCTTTTAACTGCAGCCTGTCGTGTCGTGGAAGTGTCTTTTGTCTTTGCGCGCACTCTTCTTCACTTCTTTGTCCAGTGTTTGATAGGCTGTGTTCAGTTCTTCTTCTCGTTGTGCATCCTTGCACTGCACTGGTTCGTCTTCTGCTTCACCAACATCTTCTCCCTCCTCTATCAGCCTCGAAGTGTCCGTCGAGATCTATTCCTTGTCTTGCCTCTTCTTCCTTCCTAATACGATTATGCAGGTTTCCTTCCACATTTCTTTCAAAGAGTTCCGTTGTTCTTCCAAGCCCGACCCTTCAGAGGTGTTGTTCAATGTCTCCTATTTTTTCCTGATAGCTGACGTGATGTCCCTTGTAGTTTCGTTCTTCACTTTCTGTTCTGGGCGTTGAACTCGAAATATAGTCTATCACCAGCTTCTTTGAATTGAAGGCTTTCAACTTGATTTTGAAGGATAAGTTCATTGCACTAGATAGTGAATATTGTGAACCTACATCTGCTCCTCTGCTTGATCTGCTCTCGTGTCCAGTAGGCTACATCTCCACTTTCTTCACTTTGAGATGAAGTCGATCTGATTTTTAGTGTGTCCATCTTGTGAAATTCATGTCATTTTGTGAATATCCTTGTGCTTGTGCACACTGTCTTCAATCACCAAATCGTTGAATGCGCAGAAGCCTGCAAACAGTTTTCCATTCGAGTTCATTTCACCGACTGCTTCTTAACCCATGACCAGTTCTCTTCCTGCGTTGTCACTCCAAGTTTGGAATTCATGTCACCACACCTATTTGAACGGATTTCATGTCACCATCTGATGTTGGGTCTTGTCTATTACTGATTGCGGTTGTCTGTAGAATTCCTCCTTCTTCTCGTGATCTGCATTATTTGTAGGTGTGTAGTGTAACAATGAATGTTTTTAACTTTCCTTCTTTTTGATTTGAATCTTGCTGTCATCATCCTGATCCTACAGGAGGAGATCGGCTCCCACTGAATAACAGCCTTCGATACTCTTGGGGATATCATGATAACCACTACAAAACTCAGTGTGCTGTGCTCGTGGTTGTCGTCTGCGTGACAATATCAAAGTCGATTATTGACTCCTCTCCAGTTAACAGTTTGGAGAGTTCACTTCCATTCCATCTGCAGATTCTTCTCAGATTCCTAACATAACACTCCTATCCCATATCTTCCCATTCCTTCTGCAATCTGGGAAGCCTTGCCAGACAGCCAGCCAACCAACCAGCTTTCAAACATTGTCAGGACATTCCATGTCCCCACACTTACTTTCACTTTCATTTTTAATATTTTGTCAGTGCTGTGAAGTTTCTTTAGTGATTGGATTTGTCATACGGAGTAGGGTTGTCAGCCCTATGTTCAACCTTCCCTCTTTATCTGGGTTTAGGACCGACTAGTAAACTAGTGAACTAGTTAGCCAGGCGTGGTTGGTCATACATACATACGTAGGAGTAATCAAGCCATGCAGTTGAGAGTAGGAGAATATATAGCTGAATGACTTCAAAAACAAATGGAGTGTGAAACCCTGATAAACGCTGACGGCAGACGATGCCCTTCATCAATGGCTACACATATCATAGAAACAGGTAGGGAAATTAATATTTAAACACCTTTCAAAGTATTATATAGAAACAGTTAGGGACGCATGCTAAACTGAGATTTGTGGAAGGCATATCCGTACACAAATTGAAATTATCTTCATGTGAACAAAAGCAATCTGTTCTTACACTATACCTACCCGTTGATAAACTTTATTTTGAGGGGGTTGTGGAGATTTGGAAATATTTCAAGTTGTTATTCATCGAAGACTGACATCAGTTGGAGGAACAAAGGAAACCTGGGAGCACTGGACAGCTGTTTCGTCCGACTAGTATGGGACTCCTCACCAGTGCGCACCCACGACCCCACCAGCAAGGATCGAACCCGCGACCTTCAGGTTCCGCGGCCAGCGCGTTACCATTGAGCCACTGAGTCAGAATCCAATGCTCCATATTTCCAACTTCTGTTAGCTCACGATATATAGCGCAAACCGCCACCCAATGTCATCGTTGAGTATTTGTCCTCACGGCCATCAGGCTTGACTCCACCGGTCACGACTTGTCATTGGAACTTCGGGAATACTTCTCGAAGCTAGTCACCAACGATTCTGACCCAGTGGCTCAATGGTAACGCGCTGGCCGCGGAACCTGAAGGTCGCGGGTTCGATCCTTGCTGGTGGGGTCGTGGGTGCGCACTGGTGAGGAGTCCCATACTAGTCGGACGAAACAGCTGTCCAGTGCTCCCAGGTTTCCTTTGTTCCTCCAACTGATGTCAGTCTTCGATGAATAACAACTTGAAACCTTATTTTCTTACCAAAATTAGGATCAACTATGTCATTACTCCTTTTCGTTCTCATCTTTCTTGGTTTGCATCCCCTGCTTATTATCTTAATTGTTGTATTTGTCCTCCCACTCTTTGGTTTAATATAAATTGACTTGACAAGTAAATTTGTGATTAAATTATTTCGAAATGTATTGCTCATATAAACCAATCATATTCCTCAGATAAACTTCGTCTTTTAATTACACTATCTAAATTCATAAAAGGGACTAACTGTTTCAAATCTTTCTT